ATCAATCCAGAAAGCCCTTTCTTCCTCTCTCTGGGCTCCCTATTAGGTATATTACTTACTTTACAAGCCAAGGATAAGAACACGTGGTCTTCATAATGCAAATGTATTCATGGGAATGTATTCGTGGGTAGACTGGCTGTATAATTGGAAGCAAAACTGTGCCAGAAAATGCGAGACGGATCACCAAATCTGTAGAGAGTCAGGAAACTGTGGATGGCACCAGTCATCTGATCTTTTCCTTGAAGCAGCTTTTTGTTTTGTTTTGATTTTGATTTTGTTTAAGAAAAATACATTCTGCCACTTAAACTGATTCACATAATTCCTGGATGGGAAGTTGGGGAGGCTCATGGCAAGAACTCCCACTTCTACTGTTGCTTCCCTGCAACGATCACATTATCCTAGGAGATAAGAAAATTTCCTATTTTGGGAAAGCAGTCGACAGTTAAGCAAAGTTTACTTGACATCTTTTATATTGTCTTGTTGCAAACCTTCATTTGGAGACAAGGAGATACGATCTAGGTTGGAAAACAGTCATTGGTCATGTGTAGATTTAACTGTATCCCCTCCAAAGCCCCTGTCGGGAGGGGTGGTCCAGGAAGAGCAGTGGACTAAGGGTCAGAAAGCATTGAGGTCTGACTCAAGCTGGTCTGCGATGATCTGGCTGTGGTCTTTCTGCATCTCCTGTCTGCAGCAGTAAAGCAGGCAGGTGGTCCTCCATGGCTGCTACTCTCATGAATAGTAGTCAAGACGATGGACTATTCATTCTGCTCACTTACTGATGCCCGTGGTCAGTGCTCAGAGATGGAGAGCATGGGCTCCACGCTCACAAAAACATGCAGAGGTCAAGTGCAGGGAGATTGGTTATCATCTCGTTGTTGATTTTGTCTGTTTTCTGGTCACCAGTTAATGAGAACAGTCAAATTAAAATGACTTTTTTTAGACTCGCAGACTTAGAGAACAAACGTGTGGTTACCGGGGGGGAAGGGCGTGCGGGTGAGGGATAGATTGGGAGTCAGGGATTGACATGTACCCACTGCTACATTTAAAATAGGTCACCAACAGGGACCTACTCTACAGCACAGGGAACTCTGCTCTACACTCTGTAATGACCTAAATGGGAAAAGAATCTGAAAAAGAATAGATATAGATATGTATATAACTGAATCACTTTGCTGTACACCTGAAACTAGCACAACATTGGTAATCAACTAGACTCCAACATAAAACAAAAGTAAATAAATTTTTTAAAAAACAACTGTTTTTAAAAGCAAGGGCTATTGGAATTCCTGTGACCACCATAAATGCTAAAGAAACCCAGCTGTGATGTGGGCGCCTTCGCCCACGGAAAGCGTCTGTTTGTCAGGAATGGGAAGGAACTGGTGTGGCTCAGGGTGGCTTTGTCTCCGGTGGCCCAGCAGGATCTCCTTGTACTAGTGGAGCAAGTGCCTCCTCCCTAATCCATTGTTGACCCCCTCTCCATCTGTCTGTCTGTCTCTCATCCTGTGGGGAGTTAACTAGTGGCCGTGGGTCTACTGGAAGACACCCAGTCTTCTTCAGAGTCAGGTCCCTTTTTCATCTTTCCACGAAAATAGCAAAGTCTGGAGACTTTCACATGGGTGGAGAAGGCAGAGGGGAATGAAATTGTAATTACATCACGACAAACTCAAAGTATTAATAGAATTAAATTGTTATAAGGGAAGTCAAATAATAGTTATTACTCAACGGTAAAGTAATTGTCATTCATAGAGTAACAAAGACACTTCAGAAAAGGAGGGTGACTTTTAAATCCCTGAAGCTATTTTAAATGCATATTTTATGGCGGAATAGACGTTACACGTCTAAATAAATCCTTTACCTATCCTATAACGGTCTTGTTCTAGATGGAATTAACTAACGATTTTTACTGTATTTTTATTAGCTTAATTTATTAATAATCCTGAAAATGTTTTTATTTGTTTTTGTCCTGCATTGCACAGTATCTTACCCTTCAGTTAGCAATGTATATTGTGAATCTGTTAATACAGCTCTAAGTGTGTAGTGCATCTGATCCTGGTCTGCCTCCATGGTTTTATTTCAAAATGATAAATACAATGTAAAAACTATTATGATAATGAGGTGTCAACGATGACCATGACTAAGGTACCTTACTTTAAAATGGGCAATTGAATACCGTTGGTGGGAATGTAAGTTGGTGCAGACACTATGGAAAACAGTATGGAGGTTCCTCAGAAAACTAAAAGTAGAATTACCATATGATCCAGCAATCCCACTCCTGGGAATATATCCAGACAAAACTACAATTCAAAAAGATACATGCACCCGTATGTTCATAGCAGCACTATTTACAATAGCCAAGACATGGAAACAACCTAAATATCCATCAACAGATGAATGGATGAAGAAGATGTTGTATAACATATATATACAATGGAATACTACTCGGCCATGAAAAAGAACGAAATAATGCCATGTGCATCAACAGGGATGCAGCTAGGGATTATCATACTAAGTGGACTGGGCGTTTGGGGTTAGTAGATGCAAACTATTATATATAGACTGGATAAACAACAAGGTCCTGAGGTAAACCATAATGGAAAAGAAAAGAAAAGAATAGAAAAAAGAATGCATATATATGTATAACTGAGTCACTTTGCTGTACAGCAGAAGTTAACACAACACTGTAAGTCAACTATACTTCTATTTTAAAAAATAAATTAATTAAATAAAATGGCAATTTAAAACTCTAACTCTTACGCTTACAGTGTTATCATTTCCCTCTTGGATGTGATGAAATGGTGTGTCCTGATGTTCTGTTGTGTGGAATTAATAGTGCAAGGGGGACAGAGTCAGGACAGAGCTCTTTTCCAGCCAGTCTCTGTTGAGGGCCGAGCTGTAAGGTAACAGCAGCTTTAACACACGGCAGTTCACAGAAAGCACGTGCACATTTTTTTTTAACATCTTTATTGGAGTATAATTGCTTTACAGTGGTGTGTTAGTTTCTGCTGTATAACAAAGTGAATCAGTTATACATATACATACATCCCCATGTCTCCTCCCTCTTACGTCTCCCTCCCACCCTCCCTATCCCACCCCTCTAGGTGGTCACAAAGCACCGAGCTGATCTCCCTGTGCTGTGCGGCTGCTTCCCACTAGCTATCTGTTTTACATTTGGTAGTGTATATATGTCCGTGCCACTCTCTCACTTCGTCCCAGCTCACCCTTCCCCCTCCCCGTGTCCTCAAGTCCATTCTCTACATCTGCGTCTTTATTCCTGTCCTGCCTATAGGTTCTTCCGAATGGTTTTGTTTGTTTGTTTTTAGATTCCATATATATATGTTAGCATACGGTATTTGTTTTTCTCTTTCTGACTTACTTCACTCTGTATGACAGACTCTGGGTCCATCCACCTCACTACAAATAACTCAATTTCGTTTCTTTTTATGGCTGAGTAATACTCCGTTGTATATATGAAGCACGTGCGCTTTTATAGACGGACATCGTGAACCCTGCAGGCAGAGCCTGTGCAGGTCTCCAAGTACTCCAACTCCGCAGACACCCACACTGAAGAAGTCAAGCTTTATTTGGGCATCAAAGCCCAGCAGACTCTGCCCCCAGACACTGCAGTCACTCATTCATTCAATGACTAATTATCAGACTCCTATCACGAAGTGTGGGCTCCACACCAACAAAAATGAGGACCACGCAGCCACTGCCTGGGGGCATCCACAGCCTGGGGCAGAGACGGTAGGGTATGCCCAGCACTGTGCACTGTGCGGTCGGGTCTGAGCCACCTGCAGGCGGCAGGGCTCCCCAAGGGGTCTGTGAGCAGGCGTGTCCCCACTCCGACCGTACTAAGGAGCAGCTCAGCTGATAAGACACAAGTGGATCCATGAAAAGGAATAATGAATTGGTCCCATTGAACCGCAGACTGATTGCTCAATAGTGGCCATCGCTGGCAATGGCCAAGACGGCCAAGCGCTTTAGCGGGGGATGGAGAGTAGGGGAGTATAAAGGCGCTTCCGTTCTAAAGAGAGAACTTGGAAAGCTATGCTGGGGCGTGTTTGAGGATGTGAGTTCCTGGTACCGCATTCTGTGGGCCCAGCGCGTTGTAGAACGAGGTTTCCACACACCTGATCTGCCTTTGTGTCTTTCGCCTGCTCTTCCCTTCTCTCCCAGTTGGTGCCAGGAAATATAAGCGTAGGTACAGAAAAGACAACAAAACAGTGTTGCTATAGATGTTTCTTGCTACCATCCTTCTTCCCAGTACCTCCTTATAGCATCGACTACCTGAAGGTGAGACAGAACGTGAACTAAAGTGGAAACTAAAATCCCAGATTTTTTTTTCACTTGTCAACTGATGGCAGAGGACGTTTTCATTATAACTTGAACAGAAAAATGTATATCTGACTAATCACATGAAGATTAAAGAACTCAGGCATAATAATGCCAAATCCTTAAATAAATGGACATCTAAGCTCCATTAAAAAAATGAAAACTCTGGCAGAAGTTCTTAGAGGATTTTAGGCTGGAAGCTGTGAAGTCCTAGCTTACCTACTTTCACAGATTTAACCAAAAATAACCTTCCTTCAGTTTGCAGTTGGGAAGAAAAATGATATCTTTACATCTCGTAGGAGATTATTGAAAGGATGTAATGTAATTAAGAAATTGAGAGAAATGTTAAATTTTCTGTAATAAATATTCAGGTGGGTTGGGGATGAACACCCAACCATTTTCAGTAGATGGTACAGATAAATTGTGGGCTTACTCTTCAGCCCCCATGCGTGTTTGTGGCATTTTAACTAAATGAAAACAACAAAAAACTAAATGAGATATTTAAGATATAAAGTAGTTTAATAATCCATTATTTCATTCCTGTGAATATTCTTTTCCTTTCTTGACCCTTGTACATTCTTTAAGAACACCCTCCAGTCATTAAGATCCCTATGTTTGTTTACCGCACCGAATTGTAATTCGTCCTGTCGCTTTTCTCTTTCTTCCAGAGCTTCTTTGAAGGGCAGTCTGCACCATGGGACTCTGCTAAGAAAGATGAAAACAGAATGAAGAACAGATATGGGAATATTATTGCATGTAAGTGTTGACAGCATCATTGTGCTGTGATGTAACTTTCTTTTCACATCTGCTAAGATTGACCAGCAGCCTCATGCGGCAAGAATTTGCAGTGCAATTGCTACCTTCATCCCTCTGGAAAAGCTGGTGTGATGCTCGTGTCAGGGAAAGGAAAAACTACCTAAATACCCCCGCTATGTCCGTGTGTCTTGCTGTGGGGCTAGTTTTACTTTTAGATTTAAGGTTTGGGTAACCTAGGTAATGTTCAAATGCTGAGACAGAAAATGCATTTTGGAAGGAGTAAACATAACAGATCTAATGCTTCCCATCTGCCCCATGAGAAGGAATAGACATAATGATTCGAAGCACGCCTCGCTGCCAGGAGCTTCTCAGCAGACATGAGCTCATTAATCCTCAGGACACTTGGGGTAGGGAGGTCAGTAATAGCCCCATTTTGAGGACAGGAAACTGAAACTCAGAAGTTAAATGGTAGTCCCTGTATCACAACACTCATTAGCAAAAGAGCTAGGATGATATCTCAGAAATTCTCAGTTCCTATGAAAAGGAATGGTACCAATCCATAATGCCTCAGACGGTTTTTAAATCAAGCCCAACCTCATTAATGTTCCGTAACGATGCCGGGATGCCTGGTAGATTGATGAGCTTCCTTCTTCCAGGGCTGAAGCCATCCATCCCCTGCATTAAACTGCTCAAAGCCACACGTGACTGCACCGAGGCACTGACAAGGTACTCAGGGAATGAATACTATCTCTAAAGATATGTAAATTAAAAAAAAAAAAAACAATAATGTGAAATATAGAGCACCTAGCTTATCCTCCCTTATTACTTGTAAGAGAACAAACTTGAAAGGTTTGGATACTCCAGCAGAGCTATATACTATCTGTCTTGATTGTGGAAGTGCGGTTAGGTTGTATCTGCCTGAGTTAACATTTTCTTGCTAGGACAGTTGAGCTTCTAAAGCAGCGCCACCCAGTAGAATTTTCTGTGATTGTGGAAATGTTCTGCGTCTGTGCTGTCTGGTGCAGTAGCCCTCACCATACCAGCACTTGAAATGTGGCTGGTGTGACCGAGGAACTGAATTTTCTATTGTATTTCATTTTAATTATTTTTAATTTAGATCGCCCATGAGACGAGGGGCTCCCATATTGGATGGTGCAGACCTACTGTGTGTTCCATTGTTAAAACGAAGTGTGTCAGGGTTTACATATAAGATGAACCATCCCAACTGGGCCTGAACATGTCCTGTTTTCCCTTTGGCCACTCACAAAGCCAAACCACTGGTTTTGTAGATGGCAAGTGCTAGCTTCGGGAGTCTTGTGCATTCATTTACTTAGAGCTTCATCTTTAGAGGGAATATGTTCCCCTGAGATCTAAGGCTTCATTGCGCCTCAGTGAATTCAGTCAACACTTGGCTCCCCGAGGACCCCAGGGTGTTGGGGACGATGTCCCTGCCCCCAGGTCAGAGCAACACAGGCAGATGAGAGACTGTGAGTCTGGTCACTCTGCACCAGGACGCAGTCCTGCGTTGGAGCTGTGTGTACAGTGCTGTGTGCTGTAGGGGCTCAGAGAAGGAAAGCATTATTTCCAGCCAGAGAGGGGTCATGGGAAGAGTCCATTGGCCAATATAGATCCTCCCAAGTTCCTTCGTGTTCTCTGCAAGCCTGCTGAAGTTTCACACCCTCAGAGGAATCCAGATTTCTCAAAGTGGCTTATAGGAGCCTTCCCAGGGTTCCTTCAGCTCTGCCACTAATTCCAAGGAGGTCCACCGAGGTAAAATGGGCACTTCACAGCCATGCCACCCACGCCAGGTGGAAGAGATGTCAATGAGCCCTTGTCCTGCGGCCGCCACATCCGAGGTGTGGGCCTCACACCGAGCATCTGGAGAGCAGCGTCCAGGGCTCTGGTTTGGGCTGTGCTCAGAGACCCAGCCCGCCTCTGTTCAGTGTGACTTTGACTCTGCTCCTTCCCAATGTGTAGTTTGACGGCTGCACTTGGTAGATGCTTGAGAAATAGTTTTGAATGCTTAAAGAAAAAAGTGATAAAAGCTAGCATTTGCTGAGCACTTGCTATATGCTAGACACCCCTGTTACACCTGTTAAGCCCTTTACACCTGTTAACTCCCTCACTCCCTGTAATGATCCTGTGACATGGGTAATATTGTTTATCTATTTTACAGGAGAGGAAAACTGGGGCATAAAGAAGGTAAAAGGGTTACACAGTTAATAAGATGGGGACAAGATTCCAACCCAGGGGCAGCTCTTATAACCACCACCCAGTGGATGCTGGATAGTCAGTCCCCACCGGCCATTAGCATCATTGCCTGAACAGGCCAGTGTCTGTGACAAGAGGCAGCTTAAGAAGACTTTCACCCCCTCTCATCCCCATTCTTCATCTCCCCAGGCCACCTCCAAATAAATATACAAACTAAGTACAAAGAGTACACTCCCTGTTGAAGGCAGCTTCAAGCCAAGTCCTCCAGCCCCCAGGCTGACCCCCTGTGGCCCCCTGTTCTGAAATTCTGGAGCTGCCGCTGCTGTGGGCCTCCTGCCGAAATTCTTCTTCGATGGCTTCAGATCTGTTGCCTAAGAAAGATATTGGGGTCAGGGTCTAATTTACGTATTAATTGTTAGCCTATCATCACTAACCATCGCTAGCTCAGAATGGGCGTCACCACAAAGATCACCTTCAACTTTCAAGACCCTGCACTTAGGACAGATTATTTCGTCGCCCTAGGCAGCCACTGGCTGTGGTCTGTGTGTCCAGCAGGATGTTGTCAGAGGTGGAGAAGGTTGAAATCTACCTCCCACCCCCATGAATGTACTGTCTGTGGGCTGGACCAGACTAGGATGCACGTGAACTAATAGGACAATGTAAATGACTAAGGGAAAAAAGCCTTTGGGGGCAAAAGAGAGGAATTTAGGATTGGGAACTAGAAGACACAGTTCACAGTCTGTTTCACCATGTATTAGCCAAGTGACCTTGGGAGAGTCATGAGCCTTCTCAATGTCCCAGTTTCCTAAAAAGCCAGCTGTTGTGGAAATGAACTGAAACGCCACATAAAAACATCACTGATGGTTGTTACCTTTGAAAAATCACATCTTTCTTCTCTGTTACTCCTCACCCTACCTCAGCTTAGTGGCCTCAGTAGGTCATTTAAAATGGAAAAACAAAAGCAGCATTTGGAAGCCTCGGGTTGGAAATGATGAACTTGTGGATAATTGCAGGCGCTACTTTGCTCCCTAATTGTCAGCAGGATTCTGCACAGCGACCCGCTCATCATGGGCTGTGACCATGGGCTCTATTTCTGGAGAGTTTGCCTGGCTGTCGCCTTTACTCCTGATAAATCCCAGAGGTGGTGGATTTTCCAGCTCTCACCTGCCTCCACCTCACCTGTTGGGCTCTTTCAGCATTTCTGCCATCAGCTTGCGTTGTTTTTGTGCTTTTGTAGGGACAGTGTCAGAAAGATGTCCTGTGCCCAGGCAGCTCTGTCCAGTCTCCTGATCTTACCCCTCAGCTGCCGTGGCATTCTGAAGGCTTTCCCCGCACACACATTGTCTTTTTTTATGTATTTTTAAAGTAAAAATTGTCTATATTTAAGGTGTACAACGTGCTGCTTGATATAGATAAATAGCGAAATGATTACAATAGCCAAGCTAATGAAAGTACCTCCCCCTCACGTAGTTGTCATTTTTTTATGTGTGGTGAGAGCACCTGAAATCTACTCTCCTAGCAAGTTTCTGGATTCAATACAGTATAATTAACCATCGTCATCATGGTGTACATTCAATCTCGAGAGTTAGTCATCCTATGTAACTGCCACTTCATACCCTTTGACCAACACCCCCTCATTTTACCCCTTCCCCCCGCAAGCACCTCGTAACCACCCTTCCACTCTCTGCTTCTATGAGTTTGACATTTTTTAGATTCCATGTACAAATGAGATCATGCAGTGTTTTTCTTTCTGTGTCTGGTTTATTTCACTCAGCATAAGGTCCTAAAAGTTCATCCATGTCATTGCAAATGGTTACCTTTTCCTCTAGTTTTCTGTTGCTTTCTAAAATCCCTCTAGAACTGTCTGGTTGTTTATATAATTGTCTATAACGGTCTATGCTGACGTATCCTGAGACATCAGCCACTTAGGCCACCTACCGAACAGTTATTAATGCTCTTAAAATAGGGTGTGCAAATCCTTAGATGCCACTAGCAGCTAAATAGCAGGAGTTTGATACCACATATGGCTTGCAGAAATACCACTACTGCTGGCTGGCTTGAATACCAGAACTGCCCTGATGCCAGCCCATGCCAAGTCTGGTGTTAGAACTCACAGCCTGAGTGCTGTTTCTCTAGGGGGGCCCCAGTCCAGCATGAGCTCCCCAGTGGGGTCTGATGAAGCCACTGCAGTGCTAAGCACCCCTCTGAGAATCACCATTTGGAGCCGCTTCATTTGAGACTGTACATCTTTAGTTATGGCAGCGAAAATGAATCTTTGATATCGTTAAAGTCGTAGAAGGATTTCAGGAATAAAAATACTTACCTAAATCACCCTAATGTAGACACTCATACTGGTTGTTTCTTTAAAGGCATGGAGAAAAGTATTACATCTCCCTTCCCCACTAAGAAATTCTGTAATTGTGGAAAAATCAGTTTCCCTGACTGGGAAGCCCGCTTCAGGGAGTCTAGGCTTTGGGAATAGCACCACTAACTACGATGAGGAACTGGGGGATTCAATGAACAATGAACATGTCCTAGAGATTTTTGTCAGTGCTTTTCAGAGAACATAAGAAGTGCTTTAATGATCACATTCATAGTTTTGCAACAGTGTTTGCATATAAAATGGTTTTAATGGTGCTTAAAAACTGTTTATTGGCTGTTGTTCTTAAGTAAGGTGAACTTTTCCCTCAGTTACACCATAAATTTGCTGAGCTAGCCCTTTCCAAATATAAACAAATACCCCGTCCACTATTAAGACACACACACACACACACACACACACACACACA